CTTACCACAGAATGTGATATATATGTGTGTGTGCATGTATATCACATAACAGAATGAATGAAGTACTTCTAGTCCCAGAACATAAATGGGAGCCACGGACAAATAAAAATTAACTCTATGGTAAAAGTTATTGCATTTGTGTTTTAAAGCTCATGTAAAAGATCACCTACTTTAATTCTACATTTAATGAATTTATTAAAACAACATATAATAGAATTAATAAACATAAAGCACATACTTATCAGTCAAGGAATAATGATTCTTGAATAAGTTAGGATTTTTGGGTAAAGGCAAATTCTTGCACTTTAACCCAAGGTATGGCAAAATCATGGTTTTACGTTCACACCTAAAATGACAAGAGCTCCTGAGTGGACAGTCAGGGCAGACAGCTGTGCTTGTCCATCAGATGTGTTGAGAGTATTCATCGCGTCTTCCCTGTGCACATGGGCATTCTCCATATGCAGCAAATATGAAGTTCGTTGTTTAACTTACTTCGGGGAAGAACATTTGTCTTATTCTTTTTTGTAGTCTAGTTCCAATTTCATGTTCCAATAAATAAGAAAGGATGTTTTGATATTCGTCAGAACCATTTTTTGTCCTTAGAAGTAGAAATAAATTATTAGTTCATAGGAAGAAAATACTCTGAGATTGAGTTTTAAAATGTATTTTATTAAATTAATGGGATACTGACCTAGATGTGAGGGGTTGATTGATGAAATAATTTAAAATAAAAGATCAACATGACTTAGCTTTCACAAACAGTTTGCAGTTGTGGCTTAAATGGAGTGTTTTTAGGATCAGATTTCTTTCTCTATACTTAAAATCTGGGTCACTGAAAATTTCTATCTAAGCTTGTTAAACTAAAAATAATTGAAGAAAGATAAGAATTATGGACTTCTGAGTAGTTCAAAGGGCTAGACACCAATTATTTCTCAGGAAATTAATTTAATTAAAAACCAAGATTAACTTCTATTAAATACTTGATTATATAGTTCTTGCACACATAGCATCTCAGTTCAACGTTTTTGTATTAAGACTTTACATTTTTTGAGGAGTTGTAGGTTCACAGCAAAATTAAGGAGAAAATACAGAGATTACACCTATATCCCTGACCAGAAACATGCATAACCTTCCTCATTATCAACATCTCCCTGCAGAGTAATGCAATTGTTACACTTGATGAATCTACACAGACACCCAAAGCCCACAGTTTACATTAGGGTTCTTTCACAGAGTTGTATGTTCTATGAATTTGGACAAACATGTAATGACATGTATCCATCGTTACGGTATCTCATAGAATAGTTTCACTGCCTTGAAAATGCTCTGTGTTCTGCCTACTGCTGCTTCCCCCACTCCTCTAATTCCAGGGCAACCCCCGATCATATAGTATGAAACATTTTCAGACTGGCTTCTTTCACTTAGCAATACCCATTTAAATTTCCTCCGTATCTTTTCATGACCTGATAGCACTGTTTATTTATCAACTCACCCACTGAAGGACATCTTGGCTGCTACGAATAATTATGTCCACACTTATGTCTGTGTGAACATAAGTGTTCAGCTCCCTTGGGTAAACACCGAGTAGTGTGATAAATGGATTTATGTGGGTCAATTGCTGGATTCATAAGTTTTGTAAGAAACCACCAAAGTGTCTGTACCATTTTGCATTCCCACCTGCGATGTATGAGAGTTCTTACTGCCCTACATTTTTGCCAGCATTTGGTGTTTTCATCATTCCAGATTTTGGCCATTCTACTAGGTGTGTGGTGATATTTCACTTTTAAAAAAAATTTGCAGTTCTCTGTCTTTTAATATGCTAATGTGCCATCTGTATATCTTTGCTGAGAAGATATTTGGCCCATTGTTAATTGGGTTGTTTGTTTTCTTATTGTTGAATTTTAAGATTTCTTTGTACATTTTGGAGAAGTTCTTTATCAGAGGTATCTTTTCAATGTTTTCTCTAAGTCTATGCTTCTCTTCTTATTCTCTTGACATTATATTTTACAGAAGTTTTTAAATTTAATGAAGTCCAGATCATAAATTCTTTCTTTCATTATTCATGCCTTTTAGTATAGCCCATCTAAAAAGTAATCACCAAAATCAAGATTATTCAGGTTTGTCTCTATGTTATCTTCTAGGAGTTTTATTGTTTTCCATTTTATATTGAGATTTGTGATCCATTTTGAGTTAATTTTTGTAAAGGGCATAAGATCTGTATCCAGATTCATTTTTTAAAAAATCATGTGGCTGTTCAGTTATCACAGCAGCATTTGTTGAAAATATTATCTTTTCATCATTGTATCTCCTCCTTTGTCAAAGATCAGTTGACTATATTTATGTGGGTTAATTTCTATGTTCTTTATTCTGTTCCATTGGTATATTTGTCTGTTCTTACACCAATACCACACTGTTTTGCCTACTAGAACTTTATGGTAAGTCTAGAAATTGGGTAGAGTCAGTCCTCCACCTTTATTCTTGTCCTTCAATATTTTGTTAGCTTACCCAGGTCTTTTGCCCATCCATATAAACTTTATAATCAGCTTTTTTATATGAAACTGAGAACTTTATACAGTTATCAGTTATTTTTGTGGATAACTCCACAAAATAACTTTCTGCAATTTGGGATTGTAGAAAATCTTTGGATTATTTTGAGTCTTCCTGTTCTTGAACATGAACAATCTCTGATTTATTTAGTTCTTAATTTCATTAACCAAAGGTTTGTAGATTTACTTGTATAGATCTTGTACATATGTATTTTTTTAGATTTATATAAAAGTATTGCACTTTTGTGGCTGCTAAAATAAATGGTATTATGGTTTTAATTTCAAATTGCATTTATTGTTGGTGCATAGGAAAGCCCTTAAGTTTTGTATATTAGCCTTGTACCCTACAGCCTTTCCGTAATCACTTATTAGTTCCAAGAGTTTGTCGGTTCTTTCAGACTTTCTGCATAGACAATAATGTCATCTGGGGACAAATGCAGTTTTGTTCCTTCCTTCCCAATATTTATGCCTCTCATTTCCTTTGTTTTTGTCTTATGGCATGATGTGGAGCTTCCAGGATGCTGCTGAAAAGCCATGATGAGAGGGGACATTTTTGCCATGTACTTACTTGATCTTAGTAGAAAAGTTTCAAGTTTCTCAGCATTATGCTTACTGTGTTTTTTTTTTTTGCAGATATTCTTTATCGAGTTAAGGAAATCTTATTTTATTCTTAGTTCACTGAGAATTTTTATCATGAATTGGTATTGAATTTTGTTGTTTTTTTCTGCAACTATTGATATGTCAGTTAATCTTCATAACAAATTTCCTGTGGCTGATATCACCATGTTCATTTCATAGATGTGGAAATTGACCCATCAGTGCTGTAGACTCTCAATAGTTCCCCCGGTTCCTGGTGGAATCAGGATTAAACCTTTGATTGTTTGACCTGCTCTGTAATATGCTATGTCCCAGAGCTAAGTCTCAATACTGACTTTTTGGCTCTGAAATAATAGGAAAAGTAGATTTTTCTCATCATGAATTTTGCCAAACTAAACAATCTGTCAATATTAAGTTATGTACTTTCTTGAAATATGGATGAGTTTCATTATTCATGAATTCTGTGTTTGTGAATTTGCTTACTTGCTAAAATTTGCAGCCACTATGGAAAACAGTATGGCAGTTCCTCAAAAAGTCAAGAATAGAATTACCATATGACTCAGCAATCCCTCTTCTGGGCATACGACCGAAAAACTTGAAAATATTTATTTACAAAGATATATGTACTTCTATGTTCAGTACTTAAGGTGATTTTATGAACATTCACAGACATACACAGAGTAGCAAAAAAATTACCCTTGTGAGGTGCATACTCTGGGCTGAGGTCCAACCAGATAATACTTTGCCTTCTTATTTCTGTTCTCTTACTGTAAAAAAGTGTCCTATTTGTGGTCTATTTATTGCCAAAGGTTTTTATTTTTATTTTATGCTTTTTGTTGGTGATTTCACTCTTTACAATGGCACCCAAAAGTAGTCCTAAAGTGCTGTCTAGTGTTTCTAAGTGCAAGAAGACTGTGATGTGCCTTATGGAGCAAATGCACGTGTTTGATAGATTTCATTCACTCATGAGCTATACTGCTATTGGCCATGAATTCAATGTTAATGAGTTAACAATATACATTATATAAAGCGTCTTTCAACAGAAACACACATAAAGCAAAATTATGAATTAATCAGTTGATAAAAATACTGTGCAAAGAAACCTAACCTTGTATTTCCTCTAGTAGCAGTGGCTGAGTGCCTACTGATTTATTGTTTGTAGAGACTTTATAAAACATAAATATGATGAATAACAAAAATCAACTGTCTATGGGTTCACTGTTCTTTGTGTATATTTACAGAAATATACTTCTTGCCCTTGGATTAAATTTCTACTGTTGTATAATTTGGTGCTGGTGGTGCTAACTTTTTTCAGGGATTCACCCAATTTTCTGTAAACCACTGTATTAATTTCTTATGGATGTCATAGCAAATTACCATGAATTCAGTAGCTTAAAATGCACGACTTTACTATCTCATAGTTCCAGAGGTCAAAAGTTCCAAAACAGGTTGTACGGGGGGTGGGGTGGGGCGGGGGGGGGGTGTCAGACTTGCTTTTCTTCTGTAGGCTCCAAAGAATCAAAAGCTTTGCCTTTTTCAACCTGTAGAGGCAGCCTGCCTTCCTTGGCCCAGATCCTGGCAAGGTTCTGACCCCTGCTTCTCTCATCATATCAGATCTCTGACTCTGCTGCCTCCCCCTCTTCCACTTGGAAGGACATTTGTCATTGAGAATGTCTGCTTGTAGCCCCATGAATTATTTGCTCCTCAGCACCCATTCACTTTAATGCCGTTATAAGTAAAAGACATTTTTCTTTGCACCTTCAAAGAATTGCTGATTGTATCAGCCTAGTGGTGTAGCACAATGCTCTGGTACTGATGATGCTTTCACTGTTGTCTTGTGTTTCTCCTAATTTCTAGGCCCCAGAGGCAAGTCAAACCATTTGTATGTCCAGAGAAGAGTTTATGCAGAGCATGACAGAGATTGTTGGTTGGGGCACAAAGGAGGAATATGGGAGACTCTTTGACAAAGTGGATATTGCCCAAGATGGCTTCATTGACTGGGACAGGTTGACTTCATTTCTGCTGTTAACACTCTACGAGAATGAGGAGCGAGCAAAGGCGACTGTGGTTCCCCAGTGGAAGGACCTTGAATTTCTCCCAGGAAAACACAAGGACACCATTCAAAAAGTGATTTTCTTAAAAAGCTCAAGTTGTTATTTAACCATCAGCAAAGAAGGCTTATTAGGAGTCTGGGGAGAGAATTTAAAGCTGCAAGAAACACTTCCCATCACTCCAGATGCCGCTAAGCTCAAACACCTGTGGGTGACTAGTCTGGTTCCTCTGGAAAATGTAAACAAGGTACACATTTTTATAAATGAATGTACTGCTTGTAAAGGGGAAAATGATGGGACAGGGCTCCAGATCGGTATCAAGTGCAACACTAGCAGGGACAGAGAGCTGCATTACTCTTCTGTGCCTCCAGCCTGACTTCCAGGCAATACAAGTAGGGCCAAGGGAGCTACTCCGTTTTCCAAGCCGTTCTCTTGTGTGCCTTTAAATGACACGGCTGATACTGACTCAGATGTTTGGCTTTGTCCCAAATGTGGTCATGCTGCATTACTAGCTAATAAGACCTTTATAACTATATAGTTTGCAGCAAAATCATGGCACTATATGCAGATCCAAGGGGCTCTACCAGGCATGGCGCAGCTGAGTGCAATTACAGGGAAGTGCTTCTCTCATGTTTATGATTTTGACCACTGCACTACTCGGTTTCTTAGTTCTGACATGTAGGGCCCACTCAGTCCATGTAACTATGCCTGTGGGCAAGGTAACATACTGAAAGAATCAGTTTATGAGAAAGACGCAGCTTTAAAATCCACATTCTTCATATTTTATATTAAATAGGTGGCAAACTTCACCTTGAAAATCTTAAACTCGTACAAAGCATGAATAATAGTATTAAAAACCTGTTTTCACAGCCTACCCACTTTCCAATTCACAGTCGGTCTTGTTTCATCTGTACCTCCTTTCTCTTGAAATCTAAAACATCCAATCATTTAATCTGGAAATCTTTGGTATTTTTAAAATGTGTCCGTTTAGTATAACTATAATATCACTATCATATTTAATATAAACAGCAATAATTCTTTAATATCATTAAATATCAAGTCATCACATATTTTCTAATCTTATGACTATTAATTGTTCACAATTTGATTATTTGGAAGTTAGTTTGAACCAAGATCCAAATAAAGTTCAAAAACATTGTAAATAGTTGATACTTCTCTATTGATCTACACCTCTTCCCGCACCTCATCTTTATTCTTGCATTTTTATTGTTGCTGGTTAATGTTTTTGTTAAAGAAACTAGATGTTTGTCCTTTAGGCTGTTCCACACTCTAGATTTGCAGATTGAATTTACCTGGGTTTTTTTTTTTAACATGCCTGCTTGTTCTCTGCATTTCCCGTAAATGGGCAGTTAAGCTGAAAGCTTCGATACAGGTGTTCCTCAGTCAGGAGGCACAAAATCCCTGCTTCTCTCTCTTCGTGGGATGTGAACAGTTATGGTTGCCAGATGATGACATGGTAGTTTCATCATTTCCTCTTTCCTTATAAACTGCAGTACCTCAATAAAAACGAATTCCCCTGGTCATTATTTAACTCTCATGCAGTACACATTGTGTAACAAAGGCAGAATCAATGCCTAATTCTTTACTTTTATTTCCCAGCATTCAAAATAATGAGCTGCTTTTCTACTATTCTCTGAAGAAAAAACATGAGTACTACTATCATTATTATTATCAATATCATTGTAGACTCAGGGGTTTAAACAAATTTGAATTGTGTCAGCCCTCTGAGCTATATTGTTCCATCCCCAGAACTACCATTTTTTTTTTGTCAGTGGAACTAATACATGTCAGCTTTATGAGTCTTTTTTGATGTAATCCTGCCAGTCTTTGAAAACGTCTTTGCTTCCTGGTATGACAGAGGTTCCAGGATCATCTCATATTTATTACACTAGACCCAGAATCAGATACTTCTGCATAGAGCAAGGTTTTTTTAAAGGTGGAAAATAGTGATCTCTGCTTCCTGGAATCATTAAGAACCATCATCATCTTTATTAGCTTCCTGCGTGACGTGCCCTTTTCTGTTAATTCCCTCAATATCAACATAAAGTGGATATTACTTCCACTTTCACAGTTAGAGGTTGAGCAAGGAGAGGCTACGGAACTTGCCCCAATCACCCAGGATGTAATCAGTGTTGCAAGATGTGTCATGGAAGCGGCCTGATGTCTGAACCTGTGCTTCCGTGTTTGCCGTCTCTGTACTGCCAGCTAACATCCTATCCTGTTCCTTCTTGCCGGGGATCTGGTGTTAATGCTTAACTGGTATGGCTTAAAACAGAGTTCTAGTCCAGATTTTTTTATGCCTGTGCGCAGCATTCTGTTCTTACAATGGAATGTTTGTGTTGCTGTATTATGTAATGGTTATGCTGCTGTTTCTGCTTTCCAGGGCCGATACATCTTAGCCTTTCCTTTGTCCTTACTCCACATAGAAGCTCCAAGAATGCTGCTTGTACTTTCTTTTAATAATAGCTTTATTGAAGTATAAACACACAAAATAAATTACACATGTTAAAGTATCCAAGTTAATAGATTTTTAATACATTTATATACCTGGGAAGACTCAAGAGTACAATAAAGATAACAAAGGTGTTCATCATCTGAAAACTTTCTTTGTATCCTTTGTAGTCCTCCCTTCAACTACTCCCATGCCTCCCTGTCAGGTAACCACAGATAGGCCTTCTGTTACTGTAGACTAGTTTGCATTTCCTAGATTTTTATATAATTAGTATCATAGTGTGTGCTCCTCCTTTTATCTGACTTCTTTAGCTTGGCTTAATTATTTCCAGATACTTGCATGTTGTGGGGTGTATCAGCCGTTTATATTTTTCTTTGTGTGTAGTACTCCATTGTATGAATATCACACAACTTCACCAATACTTGGTGTGATCAGGTTTTTTGTTCTCTTAATTGGAGCCATTTTAATAGGTTTGTATTTCATTGTATTGTGGGTTTCATTCACATTTCCCTAATGACTAATAATATTGAGTATATTCTTATGTACTGTTTGCTACTTGCATATACTCTTTGGTGAAATATCTGTTCAAATCTTTTGTTTATTTTTTATTGAGTTACCATTTGTTATGAAGGTTTGTTAATATTAAGATTTGGCAGGTATTTATATATTCTGGCTTTATACATTTATCAAATGAATACTTTACAAACAGTATGTCCAAGTATTTTTTTGTGTTTTCATTTTTTCAACACTGCTTTTAGTAATTTTATTTTCAGATTGCTTATTGCTAATATATAAAATGCAGTAGATTTGAAAAAAACGATCTTATGTCCTGCAACTTCCCTGGACTTCTTTATTCTAATCTTTGTTGCCGGTGTTGTTAATTGTTGATTCCTTAGGATTTCCTACATATAAGATTATGCTATCTACTAGTATAGATAGTTTAAATTCTTCTTTTTTCATCTGGATGCTTTTATTTATTTTTCTTGCCTAATTCTATTGTCTGGAAACTTGAGTACAGTGTTGAATAAAGTGGTAATGGCAAACATTCTCATCTGGTTCCTGGTCTTAGGGAGAATGTATTCAGATTTTCATATCAGCTGTGGGTTTTGTTTTTCTTTTATACATGCTCTTTGTTAAGTTGAAGAAGTTCTCCTCTATTCCTGGTTTCATGAGTATTGTTATTATAAAAATGTGTTGGATTTTATCAAATGCTTTTTTTGTATCTATTGAGGTAATCATACAGTTTTTGTTCTTTATTCTATTAATGTGGTGTATTACATTGATTGTACCTACATGTTAAACTAAGCATTTATTCCTGATATACGAGGTCTGCCTGGAATAAGTCCAGCTATTGTTAGTATAATGAGAGTATTTTGTGCAACATTATTAGAAGCTAGCAGCCAAAGAGAGTGGACTGAAATGCACATGTGTGAACAATGACAACTTCACTGTAGTAGTCACTGGGCACAGTCGATGACTTTGAGTGAGCATGTGTACTGTGTGGCTGTTGTGTTCAAAATGACTGAGCCAGTAGGGCAACGGATCTTGCATTAAGCTTGAACATTCCTTCACGGAAACTATTTGGATGATTCAGAAGGCTGCAGCTATGAGCAACTGGTGGCTGGAAGCTTTGTCACAACACACCCGCTCATGCATCATGTTTCATGCAGAGTTTTTTTTCAAAACATTAAATCACCTAGGTGACCCAGCCCTACTACAGCTCAGATTTGGCACCCTGAGACTTCTGGTTTTTTCCAAAACTAAAATTAGCTTTGAAAGGGAGGAGATTTCAGACCAGCAATGGTATTCAGGAAAATATGACAGGGGGGCTGATGGCAATTGGGAGAACTGTGTGAGGTTTCAAGGTGCCTATTTTGAAGGGGACTGAGGCATCATTGTTCTATGTACAATGTTTCTTATATCTTGTATCTTCTTCAATAATCTCTATTTTTATATTACATGGCTGCATACCTTCTGGACAGACTATATATATACACAAAACTTGGTAATGGAGTGTCATCTTTTCATGTGTTGTTGGATTCTCTTTGTTAGTATTTATTCAAAGATTTTTACATATGTATTCATTAGAGATATTGATACACCTTTTTTGTGATGTCTTTGCGTGGTTTGGTGTTAGGATAGTATCGTTTTCATAAAATGATTTGTGAAATATTTCTTTCACTTTTTTTGGAAGAGTTTTAGAAGGACTGGTGTTAAATCCTTAGATGTTTGGTCAAATTTGTTAGTGAAGTCACCCAGGACTGGGATTTTCTTTGTGAAAATTTTTTGATTACTAATTTAGTCTCTTATTATATGTCTGCTGAGTTTTTCTATGACTTTTGAGTTAGTTTAGGTAATTTTTGTGTTTCTATGAATTTATTCATTTAATTGAAGTTTTGGCATACAATTGTTCATGGTATTCTCTTATGATTTGTTTACTTCTGTAAAGTTGATAATGATGTCCACTCTTTATTTAAGATTTTAGTAATGTGTATCTTTTCTCTTTTATTTCTTGGGTTAGTTTAGGTTAGTTTTGTCAATTTTATTAACAAATGTATTGCCCTTTTAAAAATATATTTTAGGGTGTTATCTGACTTAGGAAGGCTTCTCACCAAATTTCTGTCTACTGATTTCTGTGAAAGCTTCTGCCGACTTTGTGAAACCCGGTGTGAAAAGTTTCTGGTGTGTCTGTGTGAAACTAGCTCTCTGGGTCTTTATTGTTCCTTTGTGATTAGTCATCCAGTCTCCACGGGCAGAAGTTTGTGGGTGTATAAAGTGAATACAGACAAGAATGTACGTTCAAATGACTTCGGTGGGAAGTATTTTTTCTTGGTTAGTGCCCAAAGTTAGAATAAAGCATATTTGTGCACCATGCTAAACTTCTGTAATGCTCTTAAGAACCTGCAAGGAAAATGTCTGCTTTGCATATTGTTTTCACTAATTCCATTAGAAATGCTTTCTGACTTTATACTTTGCTACTTTAGATAGCGGTGGCTTTTACAAGTAAAGAGATTGGTTTCTATGATCTGCCGTCCAAAGAAGGATTTCCTTGTCAATATAAACTCCAAGGCCTAAAAGGAGCACCGCTTTGCATGGATTATTGGTATGACCCTCTTGATACCAATGAATCAATTCTGTCTTTTGGGGACATAACTGGAAAGGTAAGTAAGGGAACCATTATATTGAACACTACACTATCAATTTAATCATCAAATAGTAACTAAATATAGGAATAAAATGCAATGATTGTGACCTTCTAATTGAACTGTATTATAGATTATAAGGCCACAGATGAGGGACATGGAAAACATGGATTAGTCACAATTTCTCTTCTTGCTTATGAAAAAACAATTTTTATTGTGGGTTTTTGACTATGTATAGTCTCAATTTTCATATATAAAATATTTTGCACTTTTTTCACCACAGGATATTTATAATCTATTAGATCACAATATTAATAAACATTGATTATCAATGTTTACCTCTCATAACTTTCAAATTAATTATTCTGAGTTTTATTTATAAGGTTTCAGGCTTCTTGGTACCAGCCTCCTGGAAAGTGATTATTTCCTGCATCATGTAACACAAGACAGATGCCTTAGAGAGGGCAGCACAGATACAGACATGGATGCAGTGATTTCTGTCTTCCTATCAAATTCCCCCTGACCTCTGTGAAATTATTACTTACAGAATGACACTAGAATATGCCTGTGAACTCTTAAGTAGTCTAATTTGAACCATTTCCTTTCATAATGGTGAAATATTTTCATTCTTACTGTTTTTAGTGACTAGTGTATCATGAAAGCAAATGAGCCACCCTTGCTAAGTGCCTTACTAACACTGCAGTTTCGCCGTCTTTTAATATGATCGCTTGCATCTGTAAATAATTTTGAAGAATTTCCTATTAGTTTGATCTCAATTGTTATTAGTCTTAAAGGATGTAGAATTTTCTCGCAACAATTTCTTTGCCCTTGTTTGTTTTTCTTTCAATGTTTCTCTCAAGGTTCAAGCAATTGTTTTCACGATGGCCACGATTTCTCTGTTTGAGCGTCCAGCTAGTGCATGCGAAGATGAAGAAGCCACCGTAACCATTAACTGGCCGGAAGTGCTCTCTGGACGTCACAAATGTTGTTATACATTAAAGCACAAACTTCATCATGGAGAGTGGGTCAGGCAAGGTACCGAATTTCTACCGCAATGAATGAAACAGTCCCTGACTTCTACATTTATATTCTTTGATGCAAATGTTTCACACAAGATGTTCAAGTTTAGAAACTAGTGATGGTTTCTAAGGGGTTCTCAGGTGCTGTCCTGGACTCTCTGTTGTCCCCTGCATACTGGCAGGAATACTTTATTTTATTTCCTTCTAAAGTGTGCCTCATACAATTTTGAACTTTGCACTCAAAACATATCAAGTGAAGGGAGAGAAGGGAGATAATTTTCACAGCATCCATTTAACTTCGACTCAACTCTGATCCTAACTAGTCTCATCTAGTCACTTCAGTATTGCTTAATAAAAGAAATTAACTTAATAAAAGAAGTTCCCTCAAAACCCACTCCTTTGTTTTCTTTATGTTCTCATGGAAGTGTACTAGTAGGACTGTCTTCAAAGTGGAATCTTCTTTTTTATTTTTTGTTATATTTTTCCATTAACATTTATCTCTTTTATACCCTCATCCACCTCCAACCCCCCTTCCTCCAGCAACCAATGGGATCTTCTTAACTATCTTTTGTACTTTTTATTCTTTTTTGGTATAGTGACTGAGTTCTTCTGATCTAGAGTACTTGAGCAGTATTTCTCTGTGTGATAGGATTATGTTATAAAACAGAATCTATAGAAAGCCAGACTTTCATAAACCTAGTCACCAATGAGTATATTAGTTTCACAATATGCCTAAATTTTACAGAATTTGAATCTGATGGCTCAAGACCCACATGTGAGATATCTGCTCTCTATGTTTGCTTTGGTCCAGACACTAAGAACTACAGTAATTTTCTCATTCTGAATCACTACATTACATGATGCCCACAGAAAGGAAGGAAACTCAGTCTCATGAACTGTTATATTGTAGGTCTATTCCTAATATACTTTGAAGAAGAGATAGTCAAAATGGACCTTACTTTTGGCTTTCATGGTAGTTGTACCATTTTGGGGTTTTAGGAGGGTGGTAATTCTTTAGTGTATGACCCACAATAAAAATATTCCTCATCAAAATCTATAGATCTTTCATTTTTTCCTTCAGGATAAATCATACTATATTTTTGGTACCTTCTAATGATCTTTTAATTCTGGCATAATATTAATTGTGGGGGCGACTTTCCTTGCAAGTACCCCCAGCCACCACAGATGAGAGTAAACATGACTGAGACATGATGTGATCTGCTTGGGGAGGAGAGGTGGCCAGTTTCCCAGAGAAAAAAGGCCTTGAGCAGTGGCCAGTTTCTCAGGAGTAAAAGGCGTTGAGCCCCTTCCTCCGGGGGCTTTTATTAGGTTATAATACACAGGAATACAGGGTGGCAAGGATCAAACAGTAGATAACATTTCAGAGAAATCTGGGGGCTTACTATGAGTCAGAGTCTGTCAGGAACAGAGTTTTAGGGTTTCCTGCTTGAATCCTTAACATATGAATGCAAGCACTCTTAGCAGAGCAGATTTTACAGGTTTATCAATAAGTCTTTGTGATGCCAGATTGTTCCCCAGGACACCCTCCAGCAAGGTAAGGAGCTGCACCTCTCCCCAATAGGTAATCAGGCTTAAGAGGATTAGAACCAGGAAGCACTTCTCCAGAGAACTTGGGGACCCGGGCTTTACCGAAGCCGGGGGGCGAGAGCCCATTGCTCCCTCTTTGTTGCAGCCCCCTGAGTCCTTCTATGAAGGCCTCCCAAGTGATGGAGTCTGATTTAGGTTGCCCCCCCGCTGTGAGGGGTCTTACTCATCATTAACTTCCGGACCAATCTTTGGAGGCAGGAAGAGGAAACTGAGGCAGCATTTGCTACCAGAGACAAGCTTTGTCTCCTGCTGCTTGCATTCCAAAGGTTGTCACTCGGCCTTAGCCACAAGGGGTTGAGATACAATTCCTAGAACCAGGCAGAGTGGTCTACAACAATTAATAGTGGGAAAAACAAAAGATGATATTTTTTGGCCATTACTATGCATAACAGGCACAAAATTATATGTTACATTTCATAACATGGGAACAAAAATCACAGTGCTAGAAACTCTAGAGGGCTATTGAAAATGCGTCCAAATAAGCATGATACTTTTATATGTAAACCAAAGACCAGCTAGACTATGTTAATAAAGTTATAGTTCTTGAAGTCTACTTGTAGTAGGTTTCCTGCATTTTAGTGTATTATTTACATTACCTTGACCAATTACTCATATTCCATGACCTAACATTAACATGGATAAATACAGAGAAGTGGCTAATAGAAATCTGTTTTTGAAAAGGTTGGGAATGTAACACGTAATGTTTTAAAATTGAAATTGTTTTTTATGAACATGAGTAATATTAAAATACTTTTTATGCTCAGGGAAAGAATGAAGAATTCTCACTGTAGACCCTGTCACAATACCATTTAAAATTCTCAGAACCAAACCCTATTGGTGAAGTAAACTGTTAAAGAGCTTTGTCTGTCAAATTGAAGGACAAAGGCTTTTCTTTCCGTGAATCTGAATTCATTGCTCATCACATTTCTGACATATCATTTGGACTGATCTGTGGCTTTCTTGTCAACTGACAAGAGAACATTGGGACTTAGTTTAGTATCAACAACAGAGATTTGCATTCATAAACTAAGGAATTTAACTTTGGAGTTTAGCCTCTAAATCACTGCAATTAGGAACTGGCTACAAAAAAGTTTTTTATATGTGAAAATTATTAGGGATCTTCGCTAGATAACTTGGATTAAATATTTTTATTTTTAAAATAAAAACAATAAATACAAATAAGCAATAAAAACAGTCCCACTCACCTTCTAAGATAACCCATATTTTCTTCTCCCTGACGTGGCTGGACCACCCTCATTTTCTCAGAGGTATTTAAAAAATTAATCTCCTCATTACCTACTTGGGAGAAGAATGAAGAGAGAGCTCATCTGAATAGTTGAGTTCTCAATAGTTTTTGGAATAAAAAGTCATCATAACTAAATAGGTAATCTCTATAAGAATAACTGAGAAGATTGACTTTGGTCAGTTTATTTAAATTGTGAACTTGGTGTGTCAATCAATCAACAATTATTTATCATTTATGTGCTTTGAAACTGTCTTAGGCATTGGAGACTATAGAACAAAGATTATTTATTAGCTTAAACTTAACACACAACTAAGAATTAAAGACTAATATAAAATAATTTATTAGAACATTGTACTATGGTATGAAAAATTAACTATTAAATCATATAAACAAGGCTTTGACTCTTATGCTAATTCTTAAGCTGGAAAAGCCATGAGCAAAAGCTTCAAGGGCGACTGGTGGTACCTGAAGGATGGACAGGTGGAGGGAAAAAGGGAGAACATGGTGAGCATGAGTGAAGGTAGACCAGCAAACATAATAATGATGGAGCGTGATATGAACCTGAACAGATAAGAGATTGAATATTGAAGAAGTAAAAATAAATAGATCTAACAAGGACATATATTGGATGACCGTGGCAACCAGGTCAATTCACATTTGTTAGAAAAAGAAGCAGTAAAACATTGAAGGCTTTTGAGGAAATTTGGACATTCCTAATGCAGACAGTGTTTAGGGAAGGTTCGTTTGGTAGTTCTGCCCAGGATAAGTTGGAGGACAATGAAGGAAACTGCTCTCAGACTGGCCAGTTAGAAGTCTTTTGATCATGAGAAACTGGCAATGATAAAGCAAGTGAGAAACAAGCCACCTTTTGAAACAGGCATCTTCAGGATTTGGGCTCTAAAAATGTGGTGTGATGAGCCATTTTAGAATGTCCTACAAAGGCTTCCGTCCCCAGGTGGGGAACCGTTATGCTTGCAGATCACAGATGCCCAGCTGGGCCCAGTGATCAGTCTCTTCCCAGCTTGCCTTCTTGATGTTGACTACCTTTGAAGGATCTTTCATTCTGTGATATTCCATATCTGCCCCCAAAGAAGAGTACTTCTTGCCCCTGTTGTTTCTGAAACTTTTTTTTACCTTTTTCAAGCTTCTTATTTTGCCTCTTTCTGCATTTAAATCAAATGAACTCTTCCATGCATGATTTGCAAGGTTCTTGATTTGGCTTTTCTCCTGGGCTCGTTCTTTTAAATCTGGCTTTCAGATGCTGCTCAATCTGTGAACCAGTCCTACACATTTCTGTACCCACATCAGAATTTGGGTCCTGTCTGTCAACCTTCTCACTCCCACAAGTACATGTGGATGTCTCATATGCAAATCACAATTATACATAAACCAAAAATTAAGACAATCTTAGAGAGGGAAGTATGGCCTTTATTCTCCTTAGTGTCCAGTCTAGTGTGTGTAATGTACTGTTTTATGTTATTTTTCCTTTCTCACTGACTTTAAGCAATTTGATTTTGAGGTGCCTTACTTTTCTTGGGGGTGGGGGGTGTGTCTCTGTGTGTGTGTGTTATTCTGCTTGCGCTTCATTGAGATTTTTGGATATGTAGACCTAAAATTTTATTAAGTTTGAAAGTTTTTCTAATGTTTTTTCCATTTTTTTTGTCCAACCCCCTCCTTTTTTCCTACAGGGCTTTCCATTATGTGTACGTTAGACTTTTGACATTTTTCTACAAGTTATACAGGCTTTAACATTTTCATTCAGTCTTTTTCTTTAATCATTATGCTTTAGTTTAGTTAGATTCTATTGCAGAGAGGTTTCAAAGGCTGTGGCTGCCTCTCTGGTTCATGGGTGCTGGGATACCCCACCTAGTGCCTTAGTGAAGGTGGGTCAGCTACAGAGACCTGTGGTATAGAATGTACCCCGTGAAGCCATTATATGAAAGGGGCCGCCTCAGAGAGCTCCAGCATGGGTGGGTCACTGCCACATCAAGGACCATGCTTATGGGGATGACGCTGCTTTTGCAGTGTGTCTGAAAGATAGAGCATCAAGCTCAAGAGGAGCTGTGAGCCTTAAAGTTTGAGTTTTCTTTGTTAGGTTATTTACCGGGGACCCATTACTCCTTTCCTGTTTCTATTTTCAGAATAAGAGTGCTTATTAAATG